CCCCCCCACCCCCACACTCTTGCTGCCTCTAACAGAGGCAGCAGCATGGTGGGGGGAAGGGGAGGACCAAGCGGCACAATGGAGCTGGTGCTGGGGGGAACTGGCTTTTACGCAAGCTCCTGCGCAGCACCAGGTTCCTGCTTGCCTCCCCACCCCCACTGCCTCTTAGCATGGGGAGCAGGTGGGTCCGTGGAGCTAGTATGCTTGGGGAGCCTGCTTGAAAGTCAGCTCTCCATGTGTATCAACTCCCACCTGCCCCTCTTACCCTCTGTGCTGCTGCCTCTCTATCAGAGGCAGCAGCGCAAAGATGTGGGGGGCAAGTGGATCCAGCCTGTCAGCCAGCTCTCACTGGCACGAACTCTTGCTCCCCCCCTCCACTGGCGGCAAGGTGGGGGGTGGGAAGGTGTATGAAGTTCACAAGATTAACTGATAAGGCTTATCGGTTAATCATGTATTCATTTACAAGTTGACATCTCTATGACATACCATTCAGCATTACAGCCCAATTAAATTTTTAGGTTATCCTGATGCTTTCAAATGCAGTGAATAAGCTAATTACACTTCTGAAGTTGTTCTTGTAAATAGAGCCCTGCAAATCTGTAGATACGCACTTTATATCCCTGGGTATCTGCACCCACAGATATGGATACAGATATCTGCAACTCATTTTTATGGATACAGACGCAGACACTGATACAAATTTTGTATCCATGCTGGGCTCAACCCATAAAGCCTTTAGTTTGCCAGTTACATACAGCTCCACAGTACCCAGCTCAGTTAACAGAGAGTACGAATAGAGGCATAACCTTGTTATGTCTTCAAAGAATCAATTTCCGCTGATACTTACATGGGCAATGTCCCCTTTTGTGCCAATGACCCTGTCCTGAGAGTGCTTGCTGAACTCCACATAGTGATCATCTGGGAAGGAATGCCTGCACACAACAAGCAGTGATGAGGTCAACAAGCAGCAGACTAACTGTCCATTCGGAGTCAGACACGCATTGTGTAATACTTATGGCAAAAGTTACCATGTTTATCACAAGAAATAAAACCTAAAAACTTGCGAATCTTCAGTCTAGCTCAGAAAAGTATTTATTATCCAGTCACAAACAGCATAGCTATGACACCTATCAGCAGCAAGGCAACTTGTGATCAAAAGCCACCTCAGAACACTGCAGTTGGTCAAGATGACAGGCCCTATTATAGAGCTGATATTTGATTTTCTTGAGAAGGTTAGTGCGAACATGCAAAATTCCCCTATACATAGGTTTGAGCACATAAAATCTCCCATCCATATAATATGCCTTCCAGTTAATTTAAATATCATATTAAAAAGTGAATGCTATTTCCCATTGCCTCTCCCTTCTATTTTCTACAGAGAGTAATAGTTAATAATGAAATTAATTTAACTGTGCCATGCTTGTAGCATCCATCTGCACTGCAAAATTTACCACGCATACTCACTACCATCTTACAGTTTTTCTGTAGCTAGCCTTAAAGACTCATCATCATTTACTAATGAAGCAAAAAAACAAAAACAAAAACTACTTATTTATCAGAATCCTCATCCATAATTTACTAATGAAACAAAAGAACAAAAACAAAAACTACTTATTTATCAGAATCCTCATTTTACTCATTTATCTGAAGTAAATATCCTCCAGGCAAATTTTGCTAGGCTATCTTCAGCCGATGAAGTGAGGAAGACACAGCATCATCAGAATAGAGCCAGCCTTTTTTATTCAGACAATAACAATTGGCTTCACTCTCCTTTTACACAATAGACCACTACCCATTTTTTCCTGTTTTAAGTTATTTGTTTCATTTAATGGGTTTCCTGATAACTTTTACACTACCCATTTGTTTCTGTTTTAAGTTATTTATTTCATTTAATGGGTTTCCTGATAACTTTTAACTGTTCTTTTTTGTTTGATTGCTTTAATCTAGTCAATACTGTGTGATCCATCTTCTACAAAACCTGTGTGATAGGTAACATTCTTTTTCCCTTATCCCTAAGGCTGAGGTAGTGTTCAGAAGCCTGCTTTCAGGATACACATCAATAACTCTACTAAAAAAACAGGAGCAGAAATGTCACTAATTTTGGCTTTTGAGTACAAAATGCTCTTTTTAGAGAGTCAGATTACAGTTAACTCAAGCAATTAACTAAGCACAAAATTCAATTAAAAATTAAACACAATCCATCAGAGTTTTAATTGCACTATTGAATAGTAGAATTGAATTGATTTCAAGTACAACACATAATACAAAGCATATTGTGCTCACTGTATATCTTTATTACAAATATTTGCACGGTAAAAAAGATACATATTGTGCTCACTGTATATTTTTATTACAAATATTTGCACGGTAAAAAAGATCAACAAAACAGGTATTTGCATAGAACTTTTGTAGCCAGTGCTGCAAGAGATTTACAGGCCAGATGTGCTAAACATTTGTATGCTCCTTCATTCTTCAGACACCATTCCAGGAGACATGCTTCCATTCTGATAACACTTGTTAAAAAAAAACCCTGCGTAATTCAGTTTAGGGGAAGAATTGTATGTCTCCTTTTCCGTGGTTTTACCGACACAGTCTGCCATATATTTTGTGTTATGGAAGTCTTGGATGACAATCCAGCACATAGGCTGTGTCTAGACTGGCCACGTTTTCCGGAAAAGCAGCTGCTTTTCCGGAAAACCTTGCCAGCTGTCTACACTGGCTGCTTGAAT